CTCCTTCGCCGAGAGCGCCCAGTTCCCACGTCATCCCCACATGTACCAATGAGCTGAAGAGGAGCGTGTGAGTGACGGGAAAGACAACCGATGGGCGCACGGCGGGGGGCGGGACTAGGCATTCGCGGGCGGTCGGGAGTGGGGAGCGGCGCGGTGGGGGGCGGGACGCGGCGGGGTGGGAGGGGGGACGGGAGGGGCACGGGTGGCCCCTCCCCTGGCGGCGGCGGGCTAGGGGAGCAGCCGGAGTTTAAGCACGCGGGAGGGAGATGAGACCGCCGCTTGGGCTCCTTGCAGGTAAAGCGCCGGGTGGCTCGATGAGGGCCGAGCTCAGCTGCGGGGCGAGAGCAATTGGGCGCGGAGCGGGCGCCGGCTCCCGGGCTCGCAGCGGAGCCAGCAGCCCGGCCCGGGGGCCCGGGGGCGGCGCCCGAGCCCTGCACCTCTACTGGAGGAGTTAGCTACCGGACCCGAGCTGCCACAGGCGGACGCGGGCCCCGGGCGGTGTGCACCCTGGTAGAAGCCGCACCCGGACAAAGAGCGCGCGGTAAGGGGTGCGCGCCCCGGGTTCAGGCTTCCGCGCTGCCCTGCCACAACCGAGGTCGCCGCGCCAGCCCCCTGCCTGCCACTGTCTGAGCCAGCCGCGCTACAGCTTTGTGACCCGGGAGTGCACCCGGTGCAGTGGCCACCTGGCCACGGGGTCCCCGTGCCTGGTCGCCAGCTGGCCAAGGCACGGGCGACGGCTGGACACAGCCGGGTAGCTTGACAGCCTGCCCAGGGTTACGCGGAGAGCACCCTACAGCGCCTGGAGTGCCAGCTACTTCGCTCTCCGCTGTGGAGCAAAACCGGTACCACTGGTCTGGGAGCCTGGAGCCACCGAGCTGCCAGGAGTTGGGGAAACCGAGCAGGTGGTGCAGCAGCCACCTCACCTCTGGCAAACTCCACGGGGAGTCTGGGTTGTTGATGTTGTGGCTGTGGGCTGTTTGCGTTTTCTTCTTTTTTAAAAAACTACACACAAAAGAAAGGAGGAGTAGCCACCGAGTCTCTCCCGGGGGACAGACGGATGGTGATAATTCCTTGAGAAACAATATATTAAGGTTTGACGCAATCCCCTCACTGTCCCCTGAATCTGCACCCCGGTGAAGCTGTGTTCCTGGGCCTAAGTGAGGCCGGTTGGCCTTACCTAGGTGGGAAAATGGCTACAAGCTAGCAAAGTGGAAACTTTCTGAGGCAGGAGTTGTGAGCGAGAAACCACCCACTGGCTGGGCTGCCACTTGAGCATTCTTGAATTAAGAAGGTGGGTCGTCACTACAGGATGCGCTCTACCCTGCCTCTGTAGTGGCCCAGCACTACAGAGGATGGCTGGCCCCTTGCCTTTGGGCACTCTCCCTGTATTGTGCCAGAATACTGGTCAGAAAACATCACATTGCCTTATTTGATTTCCAGACGCGAGGTCATGCTCCATCTTGGAGGACAGCTAGCCCTGGATGCATTGCCCTTAACTCCCAGCGCTAGTGGTAAATTATTCTGTTAGGCGATCGGTCGCTGCTGGTTTTCCAGGGTGACTCATCTAGGTTGGGTATCACTGCTTTATTGAAGCCTGGGTTGCTGTGTCCCAAGTCTTTAAGGGCTCATGGCTCACAGCTTTGTGCAGGTTAGCCTTTGGAGAGACACTGATTGAGGAGACCTCTTTGACCTTTTGATTGACAGATGAATTTGTTGTAGCACCCTGAAAAATGAAGGCTTATTATTGGAGTTTGAGAATTGGGGATAAAGACTACTGGTTTGTTGCACGCTGAACCACTCTTAAGGAGCCAATTCAGACCAGAGTGCAATAGCCACCGTTGTACACCAGCTCTGTTAGTGTACTGTCTCTTCAGACTACTCAGAGCAGGTTCAATGTAGAGGGGTCACTGCTAAAACTGGAGCCACAGTGACCATCTTGTTTGACCCCCTCCATACATTGAGCTACCCAACTGTCCAAGCTGCACCTGAGGAGCCAGGGCTCCCGGGCAGGTTGTTACCTGGAGAAGATCAGTAAGACATGTTGCTTAGTCAAAGCCATGAAGTCCTTTCCTGTACTGTGACTCGGATATAAAGGCCCCCTCTCCACCTCCTCACATGGGCATGGCTTCATTTACACTTGCACCAAGCCTTACTGTGAAGCAGGGGTCATTTACTGGTGGAGGGTGGAGAGTTGGTATCAGGGTCATTGTATGGGGTAGAGTTTGTATAGGACACAAAGATGCCTCACTGGGGAAGCCATGGGCTGTAGATCTGCCCGAAAGAAGGGTTCCCCTTTTGGGGGTATATCCTGTCACCCGATGGGTTCTGATGGTCACTAAGATGACACCGTAAGCATTAAGACAGGGGGGTCAGGAACAGGAAAAGGAAGACTGACTGCTTATACTACCTCAGTCCTTACCGTAGCCTAAAGAACACAACGGTACCTTATTCTACTGATGAGGAAACTGCTCTTTAGGAAAACATTGTAGCTCAGGGAAATGCAGCCACCAGTTCATGTCCCTGTAGCTCTAGAACCTTTGCTAGGGACTGCTGTCGTGGATTCGGAGAGCTTCAAATGGGTTTCTAACTGTTGTAGCTTTTTTGGTATTTGCTGATAAAAGGCGTATTCTGGGGCTGGTCATCAATACACGTGAGCGCAAGTCTATTGGACAAAGGGGGACATTTGAAGATTTTCACTGCAGAAAGCGGCGAAGGCATTAGACTAAGGCAGAGTCTCTGAGAGCAGAGTAGAGATGATTCCACGAAATGGCAAGAGGCAGTGAGGACTGAGAATTAGGGTGGAGGACACAATGCCTGCACAGTAGATCTCATGCTTTTGGTCCCCATCGGGGAAGAGAAGATTATCCATCCACTTGACTCCCCAAAAGTGGGGCCTCACCCACCAGGGCACCCCAAATGTTGAGGTCCATAATCCACCCTACATATATGTGGGGCTGTTGCTTGAATGATGGTTGGTTTGTGCTACAAATTGAATAGCCAGGAAAGGCATAGCAGCTAATTTAGGAACAGATTATTTCATCAATCAGTAACTATAAGACCATTTGAACTTCTTAACGACCTTTGATTTAATATTCAAACATTTTTAAGGCTCAACCCAAGAACATCAGAACCAGTTATATGACCTTTTGTGGCTTCTGTGTAGTTTAGTATACCTTTAAAATGTTTTCCTGCACATGGATTTTCTAAATCGAAGGACACAATTATTCCTTCCTTTTTAAAAGTCATAGTTTCTTTCCAAGCAAGTACTCAAATCTTGTTTTGATTTTGAATTAGCGAGAGTAATTTCTTTAGCTAGAATGTAAAACAGCAATCAAGGTATTCATGGTGACCTGACTGCAATTAGGATTTAAACAGTGCTTTACCTTTTCCGTGGAAAGAAAAGAAAGCTAAAGAAAGTAGGTGAACTATTCCCCAAGAACTTGCCAAGAGCGAGCCTTGCATCAGGCAACTATGCTCAGGGGACAGAGGAGTTGCAGGCTTTTGTAAATGGGATTCTGCCTCTGGGAAGGATCAGTGTTGCCATTGGAAGGTCTACCCTGCTTCTCATCAGTCTGCCTCCACTGTATTCAGACAAAAGACTTAAAATAATTAAAAAAAAAAAAAAAAAAAAAAAAAAAAGATATGTGTGGCCTGAAATTCCAGTTTGGCTGACTTCTTGTTGATCTAGGTATTTACTTGGAGATCTGGAACCAGATATACCAAGCTGCATCCCAGCCCAGGGGGTTGGAATTTTCTTTCATTGGCTTGAAAGCAGAATGGAGGTTGTTCTCCTAGAAGGGAGGACACCAAAAAGTTGGCAGTCCCATTTCCATTTAATAGTGACTCTCACAGCTAACGGGGTCTTCCATTTTACCTCGTTCCACAGGACAGAGACTTAGGCAAGGCTACACAGCTAACAAATGTCAAGGCTGTGGTAAAATCACTTCATCCATTTGAAAGTTCCAAATGAGTATGCGTTCCTAACTTAACTCTTACCAGCACTGGCAGTCAGTCCGGCCTTTGTGCAGAACTGGGACAGCTTAGTTCTCTCTGGGACCTTCCAAAGAAACCAGTTACTCCATCTGTATGTCAACCCCAGTTCAGCCATTGGCATATGCTCTCACCTCTGTGAGTTCCCTCTCTTAAGGTTTTCAACTAACTGGCATATGTCCTTGAGTTCTACACACAGACTATAAGGTCTGTTAGAGTAAGTATCACCGTCACATTTCATAAGTGTACTCTTGACTCCCCCCCACCCAGTGTGCCAACAATGAATAGTTACTGATTTTTCTGAATTGATGGAGTTGATCGTAACTTTTTAAAAAGCCTTGTAAGCTGGCTCTGAGAATTAAAAATCGGTGGAGGATGTCCTTTTGTATATGTGTTTCTCTTATTGGTTGATGAATAAAAACTGTTTGGCCAGTAGTGGGACTAGGAGACGAGGAGAATTCTGGGAAAGGTAGGCAGAGAGGTGCTGGGAGGAGATGCCATGTAGAGACCGGGAAGGTAGGATGCGCCAGGCGTTGTCCAGTAAGGTAGATAAGGCCATGTAGAAATACATAGATTAGTAGTTATGGGTTAATAATTAAGACAGATAGCCAATAAGAAGCCCTGGCCATCGGCCAACAGTTTAATAATTAATGTAAGTCTTTGTATGTTTATTTGGGGCTGAAGTGGCTGTGGGACCTGGTGGAACAACAAACTCCGGCAAAAAAAAAAAAAAAAAAAAAAAAATGCTTTATGGAGCTAGTAAATACAGGATTCTATTAAGTCAGAGCTTCTGAGAGGAAACATCAGAAACCCAAGGGCTTCAGATTTCATAGGTCATGGTAGGGTTGGAAAATCCTTGAGTCCCAAGTCTCATGTCTAATGATCACATCCTATAGAATCACAGCGTTCCTACTGATCTGGCTCTTGCTTAAGGTAAAGATGTCCCCTGCAGAAGTGTGCTTAACATGATGTTATTTTCCTTACAGATTTCTCAGCATAATGCTGGAGCAGGGGAGGCCGGCAGCTTGCAGTTTTCAAGATGGCCGAGCTGGATGCTGACTTGGATCACATCATTCCATCTTCTGCCCTTCCCCGTTCCTGGGCTAAGTTAGTAGTAGGATTTGTTTCCCTCGTGTGTTTTGCCAGGAGCTATGATGGAGATTTTGTCTTTGATGACTCTGAAGCTATTGTTAACAATAAGGTTTGTGTCTTAATCCTCTAGGAAACTTACACATGTCCGTTTGCTTATGTCTTAGTAACCATCCACGTTGGTGTTAATCCTCGGATAAGTTTATGTTGACTCTCGGTCTGGGTCTCGAAGCTGTAGATTTCCCCCTTCATTTTATGTATTAGCGCCTACATTTATTGCCTCAGGTCCACAGCACCTGTCTGTGCTCAGGAGACCCCATCCACACATGTATCAGAGAGGCCATTCTGCTAAGATTACAAGACCGGGGGTGTTGCAGAGCAGAGCAGATTGAGTACTTTGGGTTTTATGAAACTGAAAGGAAACAGAGACTCGTCCATTTGTTCTAGTGATGGATGGATCTAATCTCCTATTGAAAGGTGTGTGATCTATAGCAGGCAGCGGCTATCTGTGACTCTGTCCTTCACTGCGTGAGGGCGGCGTGCTGCCTAGGCTCAGGTGTGCTGACCTTGCAGAATCCTGGTCCATCTTATTCACCAGTGGCAGCTCTATAAGGCTAGGAAAACAATCCTCTTTTTTTATTATTATAAAATGGGAGGGCAAAGATTCAAATGGGCCAAAACACAATGAGAGTAAGAAACTTGGAGGCAGAACCGGTGCTCAGGAGTGGTGTGAGGTAGAGCCTTTGTGAGAGTCTGTGTCGTCAGCACATGGGTAGGTTTGCCAGCACGTGGGTTGTGTTGTTTACTTTTGGCTAGAACTTGGAGGAATGCACCTGTCTGTCTCTCTGGGGCACGTCACTGCAGGAGTTTTTGCAACACCAGTGTTGCATGCTCATAAGAAATGAAGGCTATTGAGATAGATGAGTTTGATCCCCAGGACCCACATTGTGGAAGGAGTAAACAGAGTGTCCTGCAAGTTGTCTTCTGTCCTATAAACACACACCATAGTCGTGTGTGTGTGTGTGTGTGTGTGTGTGTGTGTACACAGACACAAGTTACTAAATGCTATAAAATATATTTTTACATAAATATATCTAAATATATAAAATCTGTATTTTATATAAGTTATATATTTAAGATCATAGTTATCACCAAATGAAGAAGAGTCCATTTTTACATCAAAAAATGTTAAAAAAAAAAAAAAAACTGCACATGGCAAGACCATATGTTAAGAAGTTTAAAAAGCTAAGTTTGACTTGCAGGTATTTTGCTTGTGGCATAATATTATAATTACTTTTGTTTGAGTCTCATTATAGTGCTCAGGCTGGCCTGGAACTTGCTATGTAGGCCAGACTGGTTGCAAACTCACAGAGATCCACCTGCCTCTGCCCCCTGAGTGGGGTTAAAGGCGTGAGCCACCGTGCCTGGATCTGTTGATGTTCACTTTAAACATAGGTTTTCCACTTGTAATTTCCCCTCCCTTGCATTCATGTGCCACCGATGAAAGGTGGCACCTTGGAAGAAGCAAGTGGCTCTGAACAGATGTGCCACATTGATGGCTTGCTAGCCGCAGGATGACTTTGCCAACAAGGATTCACTTTTGCTTTTTAAGTTCTGTTACTTACTGTGTTGATTTTCTTCACGCCTGTACTTGGGTGTGTAAAGGGTTAACTCAGGACCTGTGTTGGGCTGGGGAAGGTGGCAGCCTGGGCTCTGGTGCACAGAGTGTTCTGATGATCACTGCAGTTCACCTTCCATGTGAAAGGAAGTGGACAGGCAGCATCTTGTGCCTTGGCCCAGTGTGGTTTGAGCTGTATTTTCTGTGATGTCACCCCTTGGCCCTTGCATTAACTCTCCAGCCCCCCTATTCTCCTTCGTTGTCGAATGGAACGCACACCTCCACTCCTGCAGCCAGCCGCGTCTTCATGCTGTAAGCAGGCAGTTGCTAGGGGAGAGGAGGGACCCTATTTGCTAGATGCTTCTTTGTGCTGAGTTGCCATTTTCTGTTCCGAGACAGTACTGTTAGGAGGAATTTCAGCTGCAATCTAGTGTTCCCATAAATCATTAGAAAAGAAAATTGACCTTTCTCTCTCACACTTTGCTCGGTGTGGGCTGCGCCTAATTAAATATTTAGAGCTGCTTTGGTGTTCATTTCTGTTGAGAGTGAGGATAAGACGCCGCTTTCCCAACCGTCTCACAACTGAGCAAGCACATTTCTGGGGCAAAATGCAAAGACCTGGGCTGCCACTTTTGTCGCAGAGTTGGCAGATGGATCCTGAAATCTTTGCACAACATCCATCTGGGTCGTTGGATGCGTGATCTAAACTTTTAAGGCCACTAAAGCTGGTACAAGTGGAAGTCACAGTGAGAACCAAGTGATGGACTTTGCATCTGTCCCTCCTCCTCCTCCTGAGGTTTTCCCTTTGAGTCGGCAAACACTTCGTTCAGTATCAAGTACTGAAGTCCATATTGCAGTGGGAATGTTTATTCTTTGTGGCCATCTGTCATTTAACCACCTCTTCTGTTTGGGAAAAATCTTTTTAAAGTGTGTGTGTGCGTTTGTGTTTGCATATGTGTGCACATGTGTGTCACATGTATGCAGGTGCCTGGGGTGGCAGAAGAGGCCATTGAATCCTTCAGAGCTGGAGTCGCAGGTGGTTGTGAGCCCAAGCTGGATGCTGAGAACCAAACTCGGGTCCTCTGGAAGAGCAGTATGTGTTCTTAGCCGCTTAGCCATTTCTTCTGAGTTTGAGCCTCCTTGTGTGCTTAAATACTATTTTTTAGAAAGCTGGTAATGTGCAGTTTCTCCTATTAGGTACGCATAGCTGCTGGAGTTAAGGGCCAGTCATGTGGGGTAAGAGCTATAGCTGGAGTTTCTTTCCAGCCTGATCCTGTAGCCAATTAGTCCCAAATAAGCACACAAAGACTTATGCTAATTTATAAATTGTTGGCCTATGGCTAGGGCTTCTTACTGGCCTGCCCTCTCTTAATTATTAACCTCTATTAATCTATGTATTTCTACATGACCTAATCTTACCAGAGAATGCCTGGCGCATCCTAACCTTCCTAGTCTCTACATGGTATCCCCTCAAGAAATAAAGCGTTTTATTCATCCACCAGTAAGAGAAACATATATACAGAAGAACATCCCCTATCAAAGAGCTAGAAGGAGTCATGAGCCGCCCAACATGGGTGCTGGGAACTGAACTTGGGTCCTCGGAAAGTGCAGAAGTTGCTGATTCATCTCTCCAGCCCCCCTCATTTAATTTCTACAGCGCTTAATTTCATATTTTAAATGTAAGGAGAAATGCATTTAGGTTAAATTATCTCAGCAGATAGTTTTGTTTAATATTTAGTGATTTTATGTTTTAAAATTGTATGAGAGGTTCCCTACCCTCTCCCCCCACCCCACCAGCCCAGTTTCACAATCTGCATAACTCATGACCCAAAGTGGAAACTTTAAGGATCATATTTGCCCTACTTATTTAAACTGGGTGTATTTTGTAATGCTTTACCTTATTGATCTATGAAAGAATAGTAGTGGCATTATGTGGCGGAGTGCTCCATTCTCTTGGCATGCTTTAATCATCTTCTCTGTGCTTCAGCTCATGTGGCCTAGGTCTTGTGGAGCGTTTAGTCAGGTGACAGAGTTAATTAAGCCATCGATGTGAGTGACCAGTGTGCCAGCCGCTATGGGGACAGATATGAGATGCCCTGGGATCCACAGGAAAGGATTGAGATCCACTTGGGATGCCAGACGGTTGAAGGCCATCATCTAGGGCATACCTGGCTATGTAAAGCCTCTGAGGAAGGGACTCCTGGTGGCTGGGCAGGAACATGGGGTCAGACAGATGGGCACAGAAGCTACGGCAGCCTCAAGAGGACATCAGCTTTGACCCAGGAAGGGGAGAAGCTATGGAAAGACTTGTAACTAGCTGGATAGTTAATGTGCATTTAGAAGTACTTTGTGTAGAAAATGTGAGGATACAGTGGCCCTTTTAAGAACCCTGCCCCCTATCCTTAGCGAAGAGATGATGGTGGGCTGGGCCCCAGGCTAGTGGGAAGGATGCAATGTGCAGAGTTGACAGCTTTTGGTAGCTTCCGAGGCTTTGGTGCAAGATTAGGAGAGGATCATGACTCCTTGACCAGAATGTCCCATTGTGTTCCTGCAGGACCTCCAGTCAGACACACCCCTGGGGGACCTGTGGCATCATGACTTCTGGGGCAGTAGACTGAGCAGCAATACCAGCCACAAGTCCTACCGGCCACTCACTGTCCTGACCTTCAGGTAAGGTGTAACAGTGGGAGCAGGAGCATCATTTGAGGTTTCCACATGGCATCGTATTGGGGAGGGGGGGTCCAGTCATTAGTTCTTAGGTAGGTGGAGTCCATACGTAGTGTAAGATGTCTTAAGACAATAAAATTGTGTGTGTGTGTTTTTTTCCCCAAGACAAAATTAAGCTCGGAGTCATCCTACCATTACCAAGTCAATGTGTAAAATGAAAATGAAGTTTAGAGATGACTTCTGGTCCCAATTGACCACGTTACTATAAAAGGAGATTTTAATTGGCCTGTATAATAAAAAGCTGGACTTAGATATACAGTGCTGAGAGATCAGAGAGAAGGAGCAAGCCACCGCACACTTTACCTCCTTAATCTCTCAGCAGACTTCCTGTTTCTCCCTGCTTATATCTTGTTTTTTTTCCCACAACTACGTCACTTCCTGTCTGTCTGTACAGACCTCCAGACCTCTATGGTTAGCTAGTGGCAAGCTCCATTCTCTGACCCTCAGACAGTACCACAGGTTACTAGTCATGTGACAGTTCTTATACCTGTTTCTGGGATGCATTTAAATCCATGCATATGGGTCTTGCAGAGAAATATTTAAAAGCCACTAGAACCTCCAGCAGTTGAGAAGTGGTCAAAAGAAATCCTCACACTAATAGCAGGGAGGTATCCTGCAGAAGAAGACTGGGGATACATACTGTTAAAACACCTTTTTGTACAGATGTGTAGGTTGTGTATGTGTATGTCTAGGCCCCTGTGGGGTAGTCTCTAGGGATTTGTGGTTTATCTTGGCCTTGGAAAAATAATCCCTTTGGGGGAACTTAAAACAAATACATAAATAATAAATACAAGGGTCTAGCTTCCCTTTTGCCTTTCCTCTCCCTGTATTTGCAGTGCCTTCCCTGTGATGTAGCCTTTTCTCCCGCTACATGGTTTGATGGAGGTTGTTTCTTTTATTGGTGGATGAATAAAACACTGGCCAATGGAAGCAGGAAGATAGGCGGGGCTAGGAGGCGAGGAGAATTCTGGGAAAGGTAGGCAGAGAGAGGCACCTCCAGGAGACGCCATGTAGTAACTGGGAGGTTAGGATGCGCCAGGCATTCCCTGGTAAGATAAGGCCATGAAGAAATACATAGATTAGTAGTTATGGGTTCATAATTAAGACAGAGCTAGCCAACAAGAAATCCTAGGCATTTGCCAACAGTTTTATAATTAATGTAAGTCTCTGTGTGATTATTTGGGGCTGAAGCGGTGGCGGGACAGAGAAACTCCAGCAACAGTGGTTTCTTCAGGCTTCTGAGTTGGTCTGGTATTACGCATTACCTCGTGCTGCATTCTTGACGGCTGCACCAAGTCCTTTCGACAGCCGTGTGTGCATGCGTCACGCGTCCACTGTAAACAAACCCCGTTTGTTGCAGGATCAACTACTATCTGTCAGGAGGGTTCCACCCTGTGGGCTTCCACGTGGTCAACATCCTCCTGCATGGTGGCATCTCCATCCTCATGCTAGATGTCTTCTCAGTGCTGTTTGGCGGCCTGCAGTACACCAGCAAAGGCCGGAGGGTACACCTGGCCCCCAGAGCGTCCCTGCTGGCGGCACTGCTGTTTGCTGTCCATCCAGTGCACACCGAGTGTGTAAGTATCGGCCACGTGTGACAGTCTGCATGTGTGTAAGATGTAAGACATCTGCGTGCCGTCTGGTTTTCTGAAATGGGCTCTTCTATGTGTTCCTCTTGGTTACAGAATGCATGTCACGCTGTCTTCAGGAAATGCACAGTGCTCTCCCTGACACATATTTGATTAGGTCAGGGACCATCTCTTTATGGATGGATAACAGCTGCCGTCCTGAGAGTCTTTCTCCTCGGGGTGTGCTGTGATCTTGGGTGGCACTGTCTGTCTAGCCTGTGTGATAACACCTGCTTCAAGGGCATAAATGCTGACGTTGCCTGACTCTGCAGTAAAGGCCCCTCCCTCCTCAGTGAAGAGACTGGACGGGACAGTTTTTCATTTATTTATTTTTGGAGGGTGATAGGGTCTTACTATATAAGTATATACTATATGGCTGGCATAGAACTCCCTCTGTGCACCTACTGGACTCTAAACCACAGAGATCCATCTCCCTGTGCCTCCTTCGTGCTGGGATTAAAAGTGTGCTACCATACCTAGCCTGGGGCAGTTTTTCTGTGGTAACTGGCTTTATGATTTACAGAAGACGTTCTTAATATCATTAGCATAAAAGCACTAATGACATCGGATGGTCTGGTACAACTTCATAGGCAGTGAGTATCCCAAGAGGGTAGAGAATAGTGAGTGTAGGGCCTGCTAAAACCCCGAGGGCCCATGCTGGTTCAGAGGAACTGCTCTTGAAGTCATCCTCCCTGGGTATCTTCCCCTTAACAGGTGATGAAAAGCAGTGACAGGAACTGAGCCTGCTGCCCTGTGGCCATGTCCCTGTCTGTGTCTGGGACATGAAGAACACATGTTAGACATAGACTGTTGAGATTTAACTGTACACATGGGAGGTTGCCAGGAAACCCCTTTATGCACATCTGAGCACTTGGGGAATGTGAAGAGGAGGATTGTTGCTGAAGAGAAAGATGGGGTTTGGGCATTCTGGTAGCACAAAATATCTGGATTAGAGTGCTGCATTTGCTCTTCCTCTCACAGGGGACTTTGACCTCTAACAGACATTTAAATGCATAACATTTAACTGACTATCCTGTTGAGGGTCTTATAGTCAGTTCTACTGTGTTAATCAGATTCTTGTTTTTGGAATCTGATTTCTCGTAATGTCTGCTCTTTGGTTTTGAGAATACCATGGCATTTTTTATTGCTATATCTGTACCTTTTCTGAAAGGCTATGGCTCATGCTGTGGGAGTCCACTTTAAACCCTTTATCTGTTATTTGTGCATAACCATGACCAAGTTAGAATTGACTGCAGCTTCACTTCTGTGGTTTAAGTGTTTGTTGCATCTCAGATGCAATAACGCAATAGGGGCTTTTCTGGAAAAACCCTGATTGACTGTTCGCTCCTTGTCAAATTGGACGTAATCGTAAACCAAAATAAAATTGAATGATTAGCCAAAGGTTTCTCAAAAATAGGATTTTAATAATTGAAAAGTTGATTTATAAAAGGGTTTCAAGGCCTGGGTATGCACAAAGACACACACACACACACACACACACACACACACACACTGCAGATAAATGCAGTCTATCTGCTAATCCCAAAAGGCCATATTTCAGATCTTTAAAGAGGAATTGAGGGGAACTGAGAGGTAGCTCATCTAGTTAAGTGTTTGCTTTATAAGCATGGGGATCTGACATTGATCACCAGCAGCCACATAGAATTCCTAGCATAGCATGTGTGTCTATGGTCCCAGTGATGGGGATCGAGGGTTCCCTGGCCAGCCACCATAGCCTGATTATCTAGTTCTGGGCCCATGGGAGACCTTGTCCCATCCAAGGTGTATGACACTGGGGGAATAATGCCCAGGTTGACACCTGGCTTCCAAATACATACACACAGGTGCATGGGCACACACAAGTGCATGGGTACACACAGAGGTGCATGGACACACACACAGGTGCATGGACACACACAGAGGTGCATGGGCACACATAGGTGCATGGACACACACAAACATGTATGAGCACACACACAAATTCATGGGCACACACATACACACAGAGGATATGGCTACCTATGGGCAGAAAGAGATGCTTGAAAATCTTCATCTCTCTCATTCCATGACAACCCTTTAAACTTGTATTTCACAAATAAGGGATAATTATAAATTAGCATTCACAGACACTTTGCATGTTTACCTTTCATTATTTTGATGCGCTATCCAATCCCTCTTATCAGCTTTTCCCTGTTATCTCTCACGCTACATTTCCTCCCCCAATGCTGGCTTTAAACGTGCAAAGCACAGCACACCTGGGCTTATCTTCAGGTGGCAGGGTAATGCCTCACAGGTGTCCTGCTGGGACGGCACACACAGCCAGTGCTCTGCTGCGGTGTGGCCATGGTGGTCCCACCCTGCATGTGGCTCCCTGCGGCATGAGCAGCTTGCAGCTTGGAGTAAATTTGTGTCTGTACATATGTGTTAAGAGGATGGAGTAGCAGCATGAGCCCTACCAGGCTTTAATGACATGCATTTCTTTGTAATTAATATTAATATGTTTTCCGCCTTCATCTTCCCTTCTCCCAGGTTAATATTGAAAGTATTTTGCCCATTGCAAACAAACACTTGTATTTTCTCTTTTATGTCATTATTGGGGTTTTTGTTTTGTTTGTTCTTTTTTATTTTATTTTTGGAGACAAGGTGTTACATAGTCATGGCTGGCCTTGAATACCTGATGCTCCTGCCCCAATCTTCCACGTTTTGGAATTATAGAGGTGTGCTACCATAACCAACCAACTTAGCACCTAAACAATTTCTGAGCCATCCAATGTGCCTGAGATGGAGGGTTCTGACCAGAACCAAGATGGCCCCAGGTAAAGTGGGATGAATTGATCACCCGTCAGTCTGATCCTCATCTGGGTTCAGATTGGTAGGGAAATCACTATAACCAAATTGATTTGTTCCTCTGATGATATAACTCAAAATCACTCAACATCCTCCCCTTCCACCCCAGTATGCCATCCCAAACCATTCTGGATTGTTAGTAGGCATATGAGGTTCTGACAGGGTACTGGTTCCCTGCCAGGGAGGAGACGCATGAGCAGATGTTGCTTAGGCCCTGATCTGGTTCTGGCTCACTCATCAGAATGAGGTATTCCCAAGGACCCCTTGAGGACATGAGTACCACCATGCTCAAAGTGAGGCTAAAGATGACAAGCTGCCTGGGTTCTGGTATCAGAAAATCTCAGGCCTTTTCAAGACTTCTACCCACCCATGATTGAACCCAGATGCTCTGCTAGGGAGGGGACCATCCCAGGCTGGTCCCAGATTCACTCGTAGCTGTTTAGATGAGGCAGGCTTTGAACTCTTGTTCTCCTGCCCCCTCTTTCAAGTGCTGGGATTGTGGGCACAAGCCATCATACCCAGCTTTGAACACTTGGCCGTCAACACAAAAGCGATTAGGAGGGGAACCCTTGCCTACCTCCTACCCATCCCCAAATTCTTGTCCCTGGTAAGGAAAACTCAGATGCCACCTGTTTAATGGATTGAGGGAGGGTGTGTTGTTGTTTTTTGTTTGTTTGTTTGTTTTGTTTTGTTTTTTTCTTTTGTTTTTTGTTTTTTCCCCCCAGAAAACCTTGACAGGAGTGTTTGAGGTAATCTGAAAGAAAAATACAACTGTTGGAGAGAGGTTTACCTGGAAGTACATATTTTGCAAGTAGCAAAATAATAGAGAGAAAGAAAAAAAAAACAGCCTTGTCTTCCTGATGTCCATTCTGCAATGGTTGGATATAGCCTCTTCTTGCATAGCTTCCGACTTCCTATTTTGTGAGCTCGCCAATTAATTACAATTGATAAATATTCATTGAAATGCAAAATGCCTCATTAAAACACTTGCCATAGGTTTATTTTCTTTGTTTGTTTGTTTTTATGGCAGGTAGTATAACCTTTGTTACTGAAGGACATGAGATTGTCTTACCAAAATAGGGATGGAGAGACAGCTCAGGTGTTGAACACTGAGCTCACAGCCAGGATAGTAGTTTACAGAAAGAAAAACTTTAGACAATGTTTAAAGTTCGCTTCTTGGCCGTTCTTTGCATGCCCTTTAATAACCCTGATAGAAGCCTGGTCCTTTTGGCTTCATCCTTGGCTCCTGCCCAAACGACTCCTTCCCCTTCTGTAATTCCAAGAAGTCCTGGTTCTCCCTTCCCTCCGTCTTCTTAGCTTGCTGGCCTGCACGGGCCTTGGTTGCTTCTACTCTGAGAGGGTTTGTGGTTTGGTCTGTCCAAAGCCACGGTTCTATAAAAGTTCCTCTTCCTTGTAGTCCAGCCAGAGGTCCACACGGCCTGGATGTCCTAATCCCTTCCTTACTTGCCACCTGGCCACAGAAGCGGTACCCCACCCCCAAGGTGTCCGGGGTCCTTTTCCTGCCTGCCACTCTGTTCTACTTCTAGAAGCCCTCTGGGATTCATGAAGGGAACTAATGGGAGGGAGCCAGGCATACTTGCCGTGTGCCAGGCTTTGTCTGTAGCTCTGTAGCTGCATCTCTAATGACTTAGTGTGTCCTTGATTGAATGAACTTGCCTCTGAGTATCCACAACCCATTGTGTATTCAGTTAACCCTAAAGTATACTGCCCTGCTCCCTTCAGGTCCCTTAAGCTGCTCTTGCCTGACAGAAGCAACTTTAAGAAGGAAAGGGTGACTATGAAGGCACTGTCTGTCATGGTCAGGAAGGCGTGATAGCAGTAGAGCCTGAGATGTCCGGGCATATCCAATCAGGAAGCAGAGAGAAATGAACGACAGTGCTTTGCTCTGTTTATTTAATTAAAGACCCCAGCCTCCAGAGTGGTGCTGCCCGCTAAGAGTGAGTTTATCTCAGTTAGCCACTTTATTAATTCCTTTACAGACGTACCAAGAGGATTGCCTCCTGGCTGACTCCAGATTCTGTCAAGCCGACAGGAGTAACCGTCACACTTACCCCTCTGTAGGTTTCCTCTCATACATGCTCTTGCTAGGATGGATTCATCTTATTCCTGCATGACACCGTTGATTTCCCAGGGCACCTCCATGGTGAGGAGGGGGGGTGGGGATTACAACTGTAGTAGACAGTACACCTCAGCCCTTCGTATGTAAATACAAAGCTGTCTAAAGGCATTCTTGTTCAGCTGTTGACCGTACATGCCCTTATGAAACATACGTATGTGTACTGATTTCCACAGGCATGGTATTTTACCTGTCCTTTGAGAAGCGGTTAATCTGCCACCCATCGAAGTGATTTGGTGTATGCCACATTTCGGTGATGGTTAGTGAAGGACACTCCATAAGCTAGAGCAGAATTCTGTGTTTTTCCTTATATTTGGAAAACATTTATTGGGGTAATTGGCTTGGAAGAAATGAACACAAACTTTATACAGCGTCTTTGTCACTGGGGGAAGGAGGGAGAGAAGGCGGAATTGTCGTGTGAGGGGAGGGAAGGGGCGGGAGCTGTGCTTTGTTTCATCTCACTGGTCGCTTGACAAGCATCTTCTCTTCACAGGGTAACCTCTAAACCAGTTTAAGTCAGGGGTGGGAGTGGGGAGATAGCAGAGGTTGGTCCAAGTCTGTCCTTTACCTTTCTGCCTAAACGTTTAACATATTTCCTACTTTTATGTCCTTCGTGTTTCCAATCAGACTTAAATTTATTTTTATTATTCTTAGTAGTAGTAGTAGTGTGTGTGTGTGTGTGTGTGTGTGTGTGTGTGTGTGTCGCATACATGCATGCTTGATGTATGTGCACTCCTGGTAATGGGGGTGGGGTGGGGCATGCACGCCGTGATACGTAACACATGCTAGAGGACTCCCTGAAGTTTGTTCTCTCCACCCCCCTTTCTGTGGGTTTTGGGGACTGAACTCGGTCTCCAGGCTAGTGCAGCAAGTACCTTTACCCACTGTTCCATCTTGCCGCTCCCAGGATTAACTTTTTTCGATACTGCGTGCTCTTTGAGCTGATAGCACTTTTGGACACGAGGAACCTGGGTCTCTGGTGTTCTTGGGTATAGCGTGTTAAAGTAACACTGCTTTTGCCAGACATGTGCTGCGCCCAGAACAGTCTATTCAAACAGCAGCCCAGTTTCTCTTAAAGCAATGAGATGAAGTCCTGTACCAGGAAGGGTGAAGAGAATGAACCAGCCCTGAGATAACGCTACTGAGCTTGTACAGTACTGCCAACATGATGGTGGTCACAGGTGCTAGGGTCTAGTAAGCTGCTTGTTTTGTGTCTAAGGAACATTTTGTGCGTCCAGAATTTACAGATGCTAAAATGTTTTCATGTGAATCTCTCTCCCCCTTCTTTCAAGGTCGCTGGTGTTGTTGGCCGCGCAGACCTCCTGTGTGCTCTGTTCTTTTTATTATCCTTCCTTGGCTACTGTCAAGCGTTTAAAGAAAGTAAGCATTACGTTTGCCTTCCTCCGTTTGCCACCTTCTTCCTGTTTCTGTCCTTTGGAATAGTGTTTTAACGGGTAGTGAGATGAGCTTATCCCTTGAGGCACAGTAGGTCCAGGGTTTAGACTCTCAGCACATGTATTTATTTCATTACCCCTTTCCAAAACACGCTACATTCTAGGTCAGTGATACAGAGCTCGCACACCACTAAAGTTGCACACTAGCGTGGGACTCTTTAGAGATCAGGTGTGTTTATGGCCCAAGCCACCCCATCGTGATTTCCAAGGGCTGATTGAACCAGCCCTACAAGAGTCTTCACTGCACTATCCCTCCCCGAGCTCTGGCTGTGTCTATGGTTCTATCAGACAGACATGCAGCTCCATTGTGACACAGGAGAAAGGGACCCTGCCCCGTGCTGGTGAGGTCTACTTTGGGTAGGTATGAGCATACCCTGGTGTCATTTTAATCAAGACAAGAGAAGACATTGCGTATCAGTCTGGGGTCAGGCGAGTGGGATAGCTTCAAGTGCAGAGAAGAACAATTTTGTTCCCAGGACCAAGGGTGAACATGGCAGAAAGACACACCTCCATCCGTTCCCTGGGCGGGGTCTCCCCACGGCGACGGTTCCTGGTTGTTCTTGCCCTGGTTTCACAGCAAAGCTGATAGAGATGGTAACGTCAGTCCATCGTGTTTTCCATAGATTGGGAATCAGGAATGGGAGGACATGTTTATTACGGATAATGTCACTGCATGTCCTAACATTGGTAGTTCAGTCAGAATCTACAGGAACGTAGAGAGGGAGCTTCTTGGCATTTAGACATTTTCCCCAAGAAATCTAAAACTTCAAACCTGTAGATTTTTTTTTTCAGAAATGTCTCTTTTTAAGTCAACATTTATTAATCTGAACATAACCTTATTAAAACAACTACTTGCAATTAAGAATGTATTTGAATCATTGGAAGTGCTTTTTGAAGAAAGTATTTATATTAAATATTAAGTATTAAATATTAAGTATCAATATATTTAACCTGTAGGATCCATCATATAGAACCCCCCCACACACTGCTTTTAAAGATTGCCCTTGTGAAGTCATAGGGAAAATCATCACAACACTAAAAATCCTTCTAATGAGTAAACCGATAAATTTGTTAGGCTTTTGAATGGACTGTTCTTTCACAGTGGTGAGAAAAACTAAAGCCACTTTGTATTATTCCCTTCCTGGATTTGTTTCTGTGTTCCGGTTCATGAATTTGTGCATTAATATTTATATCATGTATCCCTTTATAATCATAAAATTGTTTCTAAGGGCCATCCATACACAAAGCAATTGGTTTATGAAGCCTTTGGGACTGGGAGTTTAGCTTAGTAGTGGATCACTTTCCTGGCATAGGCTAGGCCGCAGGTTCCATCCCTAGTGCGGAAAAGGCAAAATAAATATGCATGGAGGTCTTAGACACCGATGGTGACAGCGAAGGCACTTCAGCATGTGATGGTTTTTCCAGTTAAACCGTGCTTTGATTCCTGGGAAGGTGGTGAAGAACCGTTAGCCATATACTTTTCTTTTTTTGGTCCAGTGACACAGTTTTTATCGTTTGTGCTTCATTTACTTCAGCATGAGAGAGAGAGAGAGAGAGAGAGAGAGAGAGAGAGAGAGAGAGAGAGAGATGGTTGGGTCTTGAGTTTATAAATGCTTCAGTCAAGTTCACCTGGACATGCTTCATGTTTGCAGGTCAGTAGCAGTGGTGACTCTGGCTCGAGTGGAACCTTGCTAGGATTACGAGTAGATCCTGATTTGTTTGACATTCCTGGAACAGTGAGAAGATAAGAGGGTGGATGTGGGAGCCTTCACAGGGGCCCTCTGTCTGCCTCCTGTCTGTAGCCACCACCTCATCTCTCTGGGATTCTGTTTACCGATTAACTTGAACTCATTTTAAGACAGGAGAGACTAGATGGGATGGAGTGCATGGAGTTTTCTCCACTTGGCCTCCGACTGACACTTTGTGTTCACTTGGTCTTTGGGAAGGATGAAGCCGCAGTAGTTGGTACCTTGATCCTGAAAGTTGCTCTCAGCCTTGGATCTCTGTGTTCTTTTTTTTTGGCCCCTGATGGTTCCATTTGCCCTGGTGTGCTTGAGTTAGAGATACCATAGTTACTGCAGCATTTGAGGAGGGTGGTTGAAACCCCTGCCTCTGGAGTCTTCAACACTGTGAACTAATTTCACTGCTGTTTGTCTATGCTCCTGGTTTTTCTGTCTACAGAAGGATGGAATTCTGCCTTGCATTTCCATGGCGAGTCTAGCGATTCCAAGTCATCTGTGAGGGCCTTACATACACTGATTAGTTCACTTGCAGGGACGCCCTTCTCTTGAGCAGGGTCGTAGGCCGCTTATCCCCACTGTAGTCACATAAAGACTTTCGTTACGAGCACTCTTTCCTGGTAGCCCAATCCCACAGCTGAGTTGCCCCAAATGAACACACAGACGCTGTATTAATTATGAAACCGTTGGCCAGTGGCTTGGGCTTCTTATTGGCTAGCTCTGTCTTAATTATTAACCCATAACTACTACTCTATGTATTTCTACATGGTCTTATGTTACCAGAGAAGGCCTGGCCCACATTCTCTCTCCCCAGGCTCACATGACAAGTCCTTCTGCCTACACTTCCCAGAATTCTCCTCGTCTGGTAACCCCACCTGTCCTTCCTGCCCCTAGCCAAACAGTGCTTTATTTGCTAACCAATAAGAGAAACGTATGTTCAGAAGACATCAGACTTTATGTCCTGATGGACAACCTGCCTTCCTCCTCTGGACCAGTAGCATAACCCTTTGTTGCACCAGCCACTCCATCTCCTTCTCATACCTCCCATTCCATCCCTTATGTACCACCAAGTGTTCCCTCTCTCTTGACAAAGGTGCCACGTTTCCAACAACTTTTTAATATTTGTGGTTTTCTTGACTCTTTTTCGAACATGCCACGAGTGTTGGAGTAAGTACCCGCTCCTTGGAAACACCCTTAAACACCATGTTGATTTTTCAGCCTAGCATATGTATTACCTAAGACCTGTCTCTTCTAAGAGGGTCCGTAAACCTTTGCAGGGGAACAACAGGAAATCTCCCTCTGCAGGAAAGATGTGGGTGAAATGTGCTTGTGGTCTCTGATACTATTTAAAAGTGTCACAGGGACTTATCAATTTAGATCATTCATTCCCTCACTAATCAGTCACATTTTAAAAGCATTTCTTATACCAGGCCCTGTGTCTAATGCTGGGTTTACAAAACCTAGAAAGACAAAGTTCATACAGCCCCACGGGAGGGTTTATAGTCCCATATGTCTTATATGTATACATGCATACACACACACACACACACACACACATCATACTTACCTGTGTAAAAATACTTTTGTTTCACAAGCTGGAGATCATACCTAAGGATTACATGTGCCTGTTGAGTGTCCTACCACTGACTTAAGCCCTTAGCTCCAGGCAAGCTAGTCCTGACTAAAATATAATCCACACTATGTAGAGTGTCCCTGGAAGTTAATGATCCCCTTCTCCACTCTCTCTACCTCTCCACATGTAATCAAGAAAAGGTACCTTTTTTTGTGGCATTTGCAGAATAGATGGGGGTGGCCATTGCACCACTAATACCTTTGACATCCTATCGGGTTTCCATCTGTCCAGCAGAACACAGCTTTTCGTATTAAGAGGCATTTGGGTGTCTACATATCCATGTGTCTTAAAAAAAAAAAAAAAAAAAAAAAAAAACCCTTTCTTTTCCCTAACTCGTCAGTTCAGATGAACACAGGCCAAGCAGTCTTTATGGCTTCATGCCACAGCATGATGTTTTGCCTGTGTTTGCAAGTACAGCAGAGAATTAAAACTCTTTTGTAGTAGAAGTACAGTTTTTACTGGAATGAAAATAATCATGCTGTTTAATGTTGAGGCTTGGTGTTTAAAGCAACCAGCTTAAAGACCTGGTCTTTGTACTTGGAGAAACTGAATATATAAAGTCAATAAAAAGGAGGTCCGGTTTTAGTTACATGTGAATTTGTCATGCAAGAAGGGTTTTTACGTTGGAACTGAGCTAATACTGTTTTATAAGGAACAGAAATTAACTGCTCTGAATTGATTTTAACTAGTTAGAAGCCTCTCTGAGAGGCTACAGCTCCTTTTTGGTAACCTCATTAGCTTTCTTTATAGGTGCAGTCTGTATTATTATAAAGTCTGAACAACCTTCAGCTGCCTGAGTTTATTAGGAGGCAACTCTGCTAAGCCCTGGCGTCCTGGAATTTTCAGAAAGTGGAGGAAAATCTACTCACTGTCGTCGTTTCCAGGGCTCTGCCTGGCTTCCTTTTTTTTTCTTCTTTACTTTCTGGTGCTTCCATCACACAAGCTCTTTTGAACAGGATTGTTTTTAAATGAAAATGTTCCTATAAAGGCAGCAGCCATTTACTCTTAAAAAAAAAAAAAAGTCATTAAATCAGATGAGTTGAAGGAGCACAGGCTTTTTAAAATTCCCAAACTAAAAAGGTGCTATTCCTCTTGAGATGTTTTGTCAATAGCAAAAGCTCTTTCAAAGCCTACTATTCCGGGCTGGACACAGGTAAGCCCTGTACATTAAGCTTGCTGGAGTGTTGAAAACAATTCCATTCTTCAACCAGTGCCTTAAACTACGGTTGGAAGTTTCGCTCACATTGGGAGGAGGGGTGGTCCAGAGAAGGACAGTCTTGCTACATTGTTACAGCTCACACTTTAAGTTCTCAGCTCCGCCTATTGCCAACAAGATCTCAGAGCCCGGTAGATTGTAAGCCCTTTTACTCTGCTGCTGTCTTGTAGTTCAGCCACGAACCCAGAGTCCTCATTCCCTTTCATTAAAGATTTTTTTTCCCCTTTAACTTAGAATCATGATGCTTAAAAACAAATAAGCCTGCCAATTGGGTGATTCCCAGCTGTCACCTTGTACTTAGGAGGCAGAGGCAGTGGAATTACAAGTTTCAGGCCAGC